TACATGCATTTTCTACTTTTTTCTACAATGAACTTTTGAAAACGACAAAATCATGTCACCTTCCTGCTAAAAACCCTACAAATGCCCCCATGGCCTTTGGACTCTGGTCCAGATTGCTTAGGACTCCAAGGACCTTCATGAAGGGTCTTGGCCTCTCTCCTCATACCCCCACCCAAATCTCACACATTGAGTTCATGAGGACTTACTCTTTTTTTACCTCAGTTCTCTCTGCCCAGCACGTCCCCGCCCACCGTTCCAGGGACCCAGCAGGAAAGCCCCCTAGCCCCGCCCCAAGCAGCCACGGCGGGGCCTCCGGCGGGTTGGCCGGGTTCCGCCGGGAGGAAACGCGCACGGAGACTTCGAAGGCCCAGGTCCATCGCGTGACTGCGCCACGAGCCTGCGCGCGGGGACAGACTGGGAGCCCCCGGGCCGCGAGCAGGGGCCGGGCCGTAGCGTCCGAGTGACACAGGAGCTTCTAGGCTCCGGGAATGGGGTCCTGTGGGGCTGTCTCTATGGCCGGACCGGGCTGAGGCTCCAGGCAGAACCCGCCCCTACCTCACCTTGGCGCTGCTCACGAAACGGACTTCCACGGAGACCCGGGCGTGGCCCGCCACGCCCACGCAGAAGGAGAACACGTCGCACATGGAGGCCGCCATCTTGGGCGCGCCTCCGCCTTAAGACCCTTAACCCCGCCTCGACCTGAGAGGCCCCACCCCTTTCTAGCGCCGCCCCCGGCGTGAGTGTCCCTGAGTCTGCGAGGTTTTGCGCTCCAGCGAGTCTGAATTTAGGTCCTGTGGTTCGTTGATGGGAGTGTGGCTGGACCTGCCTTTGTGTTTTTACGTCGGTACCTTTTTGTGTCTGTACCTCTGCATCGGAGTCTGTGTGCGCGTACATAGTTTTGATGTATCTGTGAGTCCGTTGCATGATTTTCTTTTTTTTTTTTTGAGACGGAGTTTCGCCCTTGTTACCCAGGCTGGAGTGCAATGGCGCGATCTCGGCTCACCGCAACCTCCGCCTCCTGGGCTCAGGCAATTCTCCTGCCTCAGCCTCCTGAGTAGCTGGGATTACAGGCACGTGCCACCATGCCCAGCTAGTTTTTTGCACTTTTAGTAGAGACGGGGTTTCACCATGTTGACCAGGATGGTCTCGATCTGTCGACCTCGTGATCCACCCGCCTCGGCCTCCCAAAGTGCTGGGATTACAGGCTTGAGCCACCGCGCCCGGCTTTTTTTTTTTTTTTTTTTTTTTTTTGAGACAGAGTCTCACTCTTCGCCCAGACTGGTGTGCAGTGGCGCGATCTCGGCTCACTGCAACCCTCTGCCTCCCAAGTTCAAGTGATTCTCCTGCTTTAGCCTCCCGAGGAGCTGGGAGTACAGGCATGTAACACTAAGCCCAGCTAATTTTTGTATTTTTAGTAAAGCCAGGGTTTCTCCATGTTGGCCAGGCTGGTCTCGAACTCTTGACCTCGTGATCCGCCTGCCTCGGCCTCCCAAAGTGTTTCCGATGCATGTTTCTATGTCTGTTGTCTCTGGCCACACAGTGGCCTGTCTTCACTGAGTAAAGCGCTCTTTGGACTCAGCCCTCGAGTGGGACAGCAGAAGGTCAACTTACTCCTATCCTCTCTGCCTCTCAGCCTGAAGGGAAGGACTAGCTTATACCCCGGAGCTCACTCACTCCGCCTGAAGAGTTCAGAACAAGATTTTATTTCCCAGTAATCCCTCTGGCAGCAGGGCAGACAGTCCCGCCAAAGGTCAAGGTGGACTTGTGCCTCTCTCGCATTCTTCAATGGCTTAGGGACCTTGCAACCTGTGGGTATTGGAGGAGTCCATAGTGGACCTCAGGTTTGAGAACCTCTGAAACTGGATACAGAAGTGAGTGTACATATGCACACTGTCATCAAAAGGGGGAGTGGCCTGCTTTCTCATTCAGGACCCCTAAAAGCTGCAAACCACAGACCTATGTCATCTTCCCTCACAGCTGGGCCTGACCATCAAGGCTTGTTTTGTTTCCTCGTCCCCTGATTTTGTGTGTTTTGTTTGAGACAGGGTCTTGCTTTTGTCGCCCACACTGGCATGGGACAATCTCGACTCACTGCAGTCTCCAGATCCCGGGTTCAATAACAGACTGGACAATGTAGTGAGACCCCCATCTCTACAAAAAATAGAAAAATTAGCCAGGCATGGTGGTGCGTCCCTGTAGTCCTAGCTATTTGGGAGGCTGAGGTGGGAGGATCACTTGAACCTGGGAAGGTCCAAGACTGCAATGAGCTGTGATCAAGCCACTGCAATCCTGTCTGGGTGGCAGAGTGAGACCTTGTCTCAAAAAAAAAAAAAAAAAAAAAATTAGCTGTGCATGGTGGCATGCGCATGTAGTCCCAGCTACACCAGAAAACAGAAGCTGAGGTGAGAGGATCCCTTAAGCCCAGGAGTTGGGGACTGCAGTGTGTCATGATCATGCCACTGCACTCCAGCCTGGCAACAGAGCAAGACCCTGACTCCAACAATAATTAAAGACAGAGAAACTTTCTTGAAACTTTCTGGCTCCCTCAAGCCTCCAGCCTGGTGTCAGGGAGCAAATTGTCCACCTCCTTGGGGGCAAACCTCCCCCTAGAGCAGCTGGGGGCCGTGCTTTCACTCACCACCAGGTGGCAGGGGCAGGCTTCCTTCCACCCCTCAGCTCAGTCCCCAAGAGCCATTCTAGAATCTAAATGGTCTGTATTACAGCAGTCAGCTCTGAAAATGCTGGCAGCAGGCTTCTTAGAGAGAAACTGAGCACATTCCTGAGAGGAAAGGAGCCATGAGTCAGAGTCATGAAAGGGGGAAACTATAACTGTCCTGTGAAAACACAGCAGAATTTATGACAAAATGCCAGCCTTGCCATACACAAATTATTCTATAAAAAGATAGGGCTTAGCCAGGCGCAGTGGCTCATGCCTGTAAATCCCAGCACTCTGAGAGGCCGAGGCGGGTGGATCACGAGGTCAAGAGATTGAGACCATCCTGGCCAACATGGTGAAACCCTATTTCTACTAAAAATACAAAAATTACCTGGGTGTGGTGGCGCCCGCCTGTAGTCCCAGCTATTCGGGAGGCTGAGGTAGGAGAGGTGCTTGAACCCGGGAGGCAGATGTTGCAGTGAGCTAAGATTACGCCACTGCACTCCAGCCTGGCACCTGGCAAATCGATCGAGACTGTCTCAAAAAAAAAAAAAAGATGGGGCTTTACAAGGCCAAGGCAGGAGAACCACTTGAGGCCTGGATTTCAAAACCATCCTGGGCAACAAAGGAACATTGTCTCTACAAAAATTTTTAAAACTAGCCAAGCATGGTGGCACATGCCTGTAGTCCCAGCTGCTTCGGAGGCTAAGGTGGGAGGATCACTTGAACACAAGAGGTTGAGCCCGCAGTGAGCTATGATCGCGCCACTGAACTGCAGTCCTCCAGTCTGGGCAACAGAGCAAGACCTTGTTTTGGCAGCTGGGCCTGAGCTTCTCCTGAGAATGGTAACAGTTCAGACAAAACAAGAAAACGGGAAACTTGTGAAGTGGGCTAAACAGTCTACCTTCTCCTCTTTGCTCTCAGCTCCGTCTGATGGGGAAGAATCTTCTATGCCCAAATGCTTTTTCAAGGAGGTTCCTTCTCCACAGCTAGGCCAGGAAAATACTAATTGCTGGTACAGGTACCAATCCCTGAAGTGACGGAAGCTGTGATATTATGAAATACATATTTGGTCGTCATCTCAATTTCCTGACACAGAACTCCTAAAACCTCAAGAATCTCTGAAGTGATGTCTTTTCATATGCTAATGAGTTGACTGATAACTGGTAGCCCTTAAGACTCTATTTAAAAAAGGCGGGGGAAGGGGGGCAGGGTTTAGAGAGCTTCCAGATAACTGCACACGTGGAGGTTCCTGGAGAACTGAGTGCTTGGGGAAGGCATGGAAGCTCCCCACCCATTCCTCTGCATCTCTTCATCTCTATCTTTATAATATTAAGCCAGTAAAAGAGTTTCTTGGAGTTCCGTGAGACACTTGAGCAAATTAACCAAACCCAAGGAGGGGGTCATGAGAACCCTACTTTATAGCTGGTTGGTCAGAAGCACAGGTAAAACCTGGGGCTTGTGATTGGCATCAAAAGTGAGGGGCTGCTTTGTGGAATGAGCCCTCAATCTATGGGGTCAGACACTACCTGCAGGTAGATCATGTCAGAATTGACTGAATTAGAGGTTGGAATGTTGGGGAAAACCCCTATACATTTGGTCACAAGTCTTTTGTGTTGTTATGGGGCGACAGCAGAAGAAACACTGTTTTTTCCAACTGGTCTCTACTCAGGGGCCTACAAGCCTTAGCAGTACACACTTCACACTGTGCATGGCACATTATTGCTTTACAGACATCATCTCACCCCTGGGTGGTCTAAGTTATGAACACACCCATTATACAGATAATGGAAAAAGACTCAGGGCCGGGCGCAGTGGCTCACGCCTGTAATCCCAGCACTTTGGGAGGCGGAGGCGGGTGGATCACGAGGTCAAGAGATCGAGACCATCCTGGTCAACATGGTGAAACCCCGTCTCTACTAAAAATACTAAAAATTAGCTGGGCATGGTGGCGCGTGCCTGTAATCCCAGCTACTCAGGAGGCTGAGGCAGGAGAATTGCCTGAACCCAGGAGGCGGAGGTTGCGGTGAGCCGAGATCGCGCCATTGCACTCCAGCCTGGGTAACAAGAGCGAAACTCCGTCTCAAAAAAAAAAAAAGAAAAAAAGAAAAAAGAAAAAAGACTCAGAATTTCCATAGATTGGACAAGGACATAGCTCGAGACCAAAGTCTGTACCTCCAATCATTTTATTATTCCAGTTTCCAGGGGTATGAATATATAAAAAAGGGGGTCCCTGTTTGACAGCTTAGATTCCTCTGGTTGAGGAGGCTATTTGTTGATGTTTGAGGCAGAGAGCTCAGGAGCAACTAGCCAGACAGCCTGGCCAGGGCCTCTGTCCCAGTCCTCAGCTCTCCACTCCTGACTCGGCATCATCACTCTGGATGCTGGCACTGGAGCTGCTCGAAGGCTCATCCAGGGAGGCAGCCTCGGCAGCAGCTTTTGCTGCCCTCAGCTTTTGCTGCTTCTGATACTTCACCCTGCGGTTCTGGAACCAGACTCTCACCTATAATTGGAGACAGTGGGGCAAAGATCAGAATGTGACCAACAGGTCTCACTGCTTCCCAATTCCTGGAGTAAACACCTCCTTCTGCCTGGCCAATATTTGCTCTTCCTTCTCAGAAAGGCACCTTCTCCAAAACACCCCTTTCTATAATTCCAGACAACATTCATTCATTCGAGTATTTACTGAGTGTGATGTTGATACAGTGGTGAGCAACAGAGGCAAGCTGCTTGCCCTCAGGGAGCTCACAAGCTAGTGAAGAAACACTGGCAACAAACATGTAAACAAACAAAGAGCTATGTAAACACAAAAGAGGGTACAAACAGGGTTTTGGGTATAGGAGTCCTCCCCTGAGGAACCAGCACTAAAGCTGAGGCTCAAAGGAAGGGAGGCCCACCTGATGGGGATAGAGAAGAGCAGGACCGCAGGGCAGGAAACAACCTGTAGAAAGGCTCTGAACCAAGCTTGGAGTGTTTGAGGTCTAGGAAGGAACAAAGCATGGATGAGAGAGGAAAAAGTCAAAGGAGGGAAATGGGAGAGGTCAGCAGGTGCCAGATCACCCAGGACCTAGAAGGCCATAGATAAGGAGTGTTACCTGTGGGGAGTTTACGTGGGCCCACATAATCCTATTTACATATGGAGTGCACTGTGCACCTGGCTGCTGTGTGAAGCATGGATGGCAGCAGAAGCAGGAAGACAGGAGGGAGGCCACTACAGCAGCCCAGGGAGAGCTGGGGTGATGGAGAGAAGTGAAGCCACTCCAGCTGTATTTTGGAGGTAGAAATGACAAGGCTCACTGATGATTGGAAGTGGGGAAGAAGGAGGAATCTAGGAAGATTGGGTTTTTGAGTAACCAGGTAGATGGTGGAGTCATGTATGGGAAAGGAACAGATTTGGGCAGGAAAAAAGTCAGAAATTGAGGTTTAAATCTGGGTCTGAGATACGGGCCCATGAGACATCTAAGTGGAGTCACCAAGAAGGTAGTTAGAGATAAAGTCAGATGAGATGGTTGTGCTGAGGATACAAATTTGGGAGTTATTGGCTTATGGATGGTATTTTAAGCCATGGGAATCAATAGATGAGACCAGCTGGGAAGAGATTTCAAGGTCCGCAAGGGAAGAATAGCCTGCCAAGGAGACAGAGCTGGGAGGAAAAACCAAGACAGCATGGTGTCTGGAGGCTGTGAGGTACATGTTTCAATAAGGGATGGGGTGGCCGAGCGTCCAGTACTGACAGCTGCTGAGCGGTGGACTAAGTTGAAGAAAGGAAAGTGTCTGTTGGCTTTGGCAACATGGAGGTTTATTTGGGACCTTGCTGAGAAGTTTTGATGCAATGGTAGGGAAAAGTCATGTTGGAATGTGTAAAGGAGTGAGTGGGAGATGAGGACAGGGACAAAGTGAACATGACAAGTTCTTGAGAAGTTTGCCTGTGAAAGGAGCAGGGAAATGATATAATAGCTGGAGAGGAATATAGAGGTCAAAGAAATATTGATTATAGTTAGTCTCTTGAATGTCTACTTAATTTTACTAGCAGGTCCTTATTTGGCATGGAAACACTTTGTTTTCAAGTTTTAGACTAATAACCTAAGTTAACATCTTACGTTGTTCACATAATAACTTCAAGTGGGACTGTTTCTTTCATTATATAGAGTGCAAAAAGTCAGGGCCTGCCCCCACAACAGCCTGGCACAGGGAAGAGGGTCCATGTCTTCCTCTCACCCTCTACTTAGGGCCTTGCTGAGGTAGTGTCCTATCCCCAGGTGCAGTGCAGGCCCAACAGGAGTCCCTGCTCCCACCTGGTTCTCCGTAAGATTGAGCCGAGCTGCCAGCTGGGCTCTCTTCTTCCCCACCAGATTGTGCTGTTTTACAAACGTTCTCTCCAGCTCTTCCAGCTGCTCCAAGTTAAACATAGTTCGGACTCTCTTTTGCTGTCTCTCTGTGTCCTGTAGGTCCTCCGTTGGGGCCCAGCCTGGGAAGGCCCAGAGTCTTGAGCAATGAGCCAGCTCCAAGCCTAAAGAACAACCAGCAGCAGAAGAGGTTAGCCAGAAGCCCCCTGCGCACCCATCTTGGCAGAATGAGAGGCACACCCAGCTCCATTACCTAGCCTTCCCCTTGGCTAGGTAACAGGGCAAGATGACCGTGAGAAGAGACTGTGCAGAAACAACAAGAAACAAATGGAAAAGAAGGGACAACGCAATGAGACTGTCTGCCACCACTGCTCTCCAGGCAAGTGGCTTAACTTCTGGCCCCAAATAAGGGTTGCCAAACCTCCCTTCTCTTTGCCTTTCTCTCTTTTCCTTGACTGCTTCTGGCAATGCCAAAGGATGAGCAGAGAAAGGAGCCCCCGAGGGGTTCACCCTTTTAATTCAGTGAACAAATATTATACTTTTTGAATGTCTACTGTGTGTCATGCATGGTTTCAGGACAAAATAGAAAATCTCTGTCTTTATGGAGCTTATATCTTAGAAGTGAGGTCAGAAGAGATACAAGTCAGGTTGAGCTGAGGACACAAATTTGGGAGTCATTGCTGAGCACAGATGGCTTATTCCTGTAATTCCAGCACTTTGGGAGTCCAAAGTGGGCAGATCACTTGAGATCAGAAGTTCTAGACCAGCCTTGGCCAACATGGTGAAACCCTGTCTCTACTAAAAATGCAAAAATTAGGCAGGCATGGTGGTGCACACCTATAATCCCAGCTACTTGGGAGGCTGAGGCAGGAGAATTGCTTGAACCCAGGAAGCAGAGATTGTAGTCAGCCAAGACCGAGCCTACTCCACTCTAATCTGAGTGACAGAGCGAGACTTTGTGTCAATTAAAAAAAAAAAAAAATTGGGAGTCATCAGCTTATATAGATGGTATTTTAAGCCATGGAAATAGATGAGACCAAGCTGTGGGCTAGTGGAGATACATCAACCAGGAGCAGTTCCTAAGTCAAAGCTTGATGGAGATGAGGGAGTGAGCCATTGGGCTATCTGGGAGGCGAGTATTCTAGGCAGAAGAATGGCAAGTGCAATGCTAACACTACTCAGCCCCCACTAACCTTGGGGAGGCCTCAGGGCTGGCAGACAGACTGCCCCAACGAAGGGAGTGCGTCTGGGGTTCTGGCTGCTCAGAATTCCAACCACCGAGCCCACTAAGCTAACCATGTGCCTGCCAAGGTAGACTAAAAGATCAGGAAAAGCCCATCAGACATGCAGCCTGGTGTACCTAGTCTGCCTTGTTTCAGAATTGGAAGTTGACCTTTGAAGAAGAAAGTAGGCTGTATTATGTGTTCCTTAAGAGCTCTAGTTGAGGCTAGGCATGGTGGCTGATGCCTGTGATCCCAGCACTTTGGGAGGCTGAGGCGGGCAGATCACCTGAGGTCTGGAGTTCAAGACCAGCCTGGCCACCATGGTGAAACTCCATCTCTACTAAAAATACAAAAATTAGCTGGGTGTGGTGGTGGGCACCTGTAATTCCAGCTACTCGGGAGGCTGAGGCAGGAGAATCACTTGAACCTGGAAGGTGGAGGTTGCAGTGAGCTGAGATCGTGCTACTGCACTCCAGCTTGGGTGATAGAGTGAGACTCTGTCTCAAAAACAAACAAAAAAAAACAAGAGCTCTAGTTGCAATCCTAGCTCTGCCACCAATTACCAGCCACTGGACCTTGGGCAAGCCAGTATGCTTCTGTGAGCCTTGATTTCCTTATATGTAAAATGGTGATAATCATCCCTACTCACAGAAATGTCATAAGGATTTTAACATGGTGCCTTTAACAGCGGTGGCTTACCCCTGTAATCCTGGCGCTTTGGGAGGCTGAAGTGGGAGTTCATCGCTTGAGCCAGGAGTTCGAGACCACCCTGGGCAACATGGCAAAACTCCATCTCTGTAAAAACTACAAAAGTTAGCCAGGTATGGTGGTGCACAACTGTAGTCCCAGCTACTTAGGAGGCTGAAGCAGGAGGATCACTGAAGCCAGGGAGGCAGAGGTTGTAGTGAGTAGAAATCACACCTTGGCAATAGAGTAAGACTCTGTCTCAACTACTGCTGCAGAACAAAAACAAAAACATATGATGCTTACAGGGTCCTTAGCACTGTGCCAGGCACAGAGCAAGAAGAAAGTTAATAGCTATTATAAAAAATAAAACAGAAGTGATAATGCAATGGGGAAGAGAGGGATTATTTCCAGATCTATGAAAAATTAAGCTGGATCCACATCCAATACCTTGCACTAAAAATAAAATCCAAATGAAGGAAATATTTAAATGTAGAAAGGTAAACCCACAACAATTTTGAAAAAAAAAAACGGGGAAGTTATTTTATGACCTCACAGTGAGGAAGCTCTTTCCAAGTATCATATAAAACACAGGGCCAGGCACAATGTCTCATGCCCGCAATCCTAGCAGTTTAGGAGGCTGAGGAGGGAGGATCACTTGAGCTCAGGAGTTCAAGATCAGCCTGCGTAATATAGTGAGACTCCATCTCTACCAAAAAAAAAAAAAAAATTTTTTTTTAATTAGCTGAGTATGGTAGCAGATGCCTGTGGTCCCTGCTATTTGGGAGGCTGAGACAGAAGGAGTGCTTAAGCCTGTGCACCACTGCACTCCAGCCTGAGTGACAGAGAACCTGTCTCAAAAAAAAAAAAAGACAGAACTCATTTATAAATATACAACAAACATAAAAAAGTTAAAATTTTTTCTATGCAATGAAAGAAAACCACCATAATCAAAGTCAAAGGCCAATAAACAGGAAAAATTTTGCAACTCATTACAGTTAAAGGGCTAATTTCTTTTCTTTCTTTCTTTCTTTATTTTTTATTTTTTATTTTTTTATGTTTTGAGACAAGGTCTTATTCTGTCACCCAGGCTGGAGTGGAGTGGCTTGACCTCGGCTCACTGCAACTTCTGCCTCCCAGGTGCAAGCAGTCTTCCCACTTTAGTCCCTGCAAGTAGCTGGGACGACAGGTGTGCACCACCATGCCCAGCTAATTTATGTCTTTTTAGTAGAGATGGGGTTTTGCCATGTTATCCAGGCTGGTCTCAACTCCTGAGCTCAAGTGATCCACACACCTTGACCTCCTCCCAGAGTGCTGGGGTTACAGGCATGAGCCACTGCACCTGGCTAAGGCTAATTTCCTCAATAGAAGAGAGCATCTATAAATAGATTGTTTTAAATGACCAACTATACATATGGGCAAAATAAAGAACAGATAGTTCACAGAAAAATACAAATGGCTCTTAAACATGAAAATACGCTCCATTTCACTTATATTACAGAAATGCACATTGAACTAACACAGAGATACTGTTTTCCTTCTATCAGATTAGCTAAACTAAGATGGACTATACATTATGCAGGTGAGATTGAAGAAGGGAACACTCTCACACAGCTGGTTTTGAATTCCAGGAGGGCAGAGGGGCTACAATCTTTGTGGAGCGCAATCTGGCAAAACTACCGCAAGCCCAGCCATGCTAGAATAGCCTATGTGCAAGGTTATTCATTGCTGTGCTATATATAATAGCAGTGACAAAAAACAATCAATGGGACCTAATTAAACAAATTATGATGTATTCCTACAATGGGCTACTCTGTGGTTGTAAAAGAAGCAAATCTCCAAGACATATGATCAAGTGACTAAAGTAAGGTTCAGAGTGTATGGTGAGTGTGGGTAAATGAAAGAATAGACATGTGTGTGCATATCTGTATTCAGGTAATAAATATGCATAAAAAAGCTCAAGAAGTATGTGGCTAGGTGACAGAGGCAAAAGAGGAAAGTACTCTTCATATATCTTAATATAAATTTTGACATTTGGATTGTGTAGATATAATACCCATGCAAAAACTAACTTCAGGCGGGGTGCAGTGGCTCATGCATGTAATCCCAGCACTTTGGGAGGCTGAGGTGGGCGGATCATTTGAAGTCAGGAGTTCAAAATCAGCCTGGCCAACAGGGTAAAACCCCATCTTTACTAAAAATACAAAAATTAGCCAGGCATGGTGGTGGGCACCTGTAATTCCAGCCACTCTGAAGGCTGAGGCAGGAGAATCACTTAAATCCAGAAGGTGGAGGTTGCAGTGAGCAGAGATCTCGCCACTGCACTCCAGCCTGGGAGACAGAGCAAGACTCCATCTCAAAACAAAACAGCCGGGCGCGGTGGCTCAAGCCTGTAATCCCAGCACTTTGGGAGGCCGAGGCGGGTGGATCACAAGGTCAAGAGATCGAGACCATCCTGGTCAACATGGTGAAACCCCGTCTCTACTAAAAATACAAAAAATTAGCTGGGCATGGTGGTGCGTGCCTGTAATCCCAGCTACTCAGGAGGCTGAGGCAGGAGAATTGCCTGAACCCAGGAGGTGGAGGTTGTGGTGAGCCGAGATCGCGCCATTGCACTCCAGCCTGGGTAACAAGAGCGAAACTCCGTCTCAAAAAAAAAAAAAAAAAAAAAAAAAACAAAACAAAACAAAACAAAAAACAACAAAAAAAACTAACTTGAAAATGAGACAACACAACTGTAGTATGAAGTAGCAAACTGTAATTCAGTCCTCAGGTGTGTGAAGAGTTCAGAGAAAGGTGACTTGGAGTGATTGGCACAGCTCCCAGATCCAGTGGTATTGAATTTGGATGGGGCTGGCAGTCCAGGGGTTAATGCACTGCTGAAATGGGGTGAGGAAATGCAGGACTGAGGCTGGAGCCCTGAGTAGGAATCCAGCAAAACTGTGTTACAGCTATCTTGGTATAGGTTAAGGCCTGGACTGACTTTGCTCCTGTTTTCTTCATGGGGCCATGGAGAAACATGAACCTGGCAACCAAAAATGGCAAAAGCACATGTAAGGTGGATGTTTAATGCTAGAGGGCAAAGTTCCCTCTACAGTATTTTTTTTTTTTTTTTTTTTTTTTTTTTTTGAGATAGAGTCACATTGTCGCCCAGGCTGGAGTGCAGTGGTGCAATCTCCACTCACTGCAACCTCTGCCTCCCAGGTTCAAGCGATTCTCCTGCCTTAGACTCCTGAGTAGATGGGATTACTAACGCGCCCCACCACGCCCAGCTAATTTTTGTATTTTTAGTAGAGACAGGGTTTCACTTTGTTGGCCAGGCTGGTCTCGAACTCCTGACCTCAGGTGATCCACTCGCCTTGGCCTCCCAAAGTGCTGAGATTACAGGCATGAGCCACCGTACCCGGTTTTACAGTTGCTTTCTCCTGAGATTTAAGTGCCTGGCCCTTAAACACCACTTTAGAGCACTGCAGCCATGCAGGTTCAGAGCGGAGAAGTGGAGCCCAAGTTCACAGACGTGAGCTGTGGCGGTGGTATTCGCTCAACAGCACGGTCCCGAGCGTCCATTTCTCCCGAGGAAAAAAAACCAAAAAACAAAAAAACAGGGCCGTCGGTTCGCGTTGAGAGCCGCTTTCGGAAGCATGTGTGCCACCAAGCGCTACCCCTGGGTGTGCGAGGCAGTCAAGGAACGGAAGCAGGGCTGGGTCCCCATGCAGCTCCAGCGCTGACCTCCTGCCCACCGCATTGCCGCACTGCGCCGCCCTCACACCCATCCTCTCCCACCTCAGCAGCGTGCAAGGGAAGCTTCGCACCGGAGGCTTTCTCGGCAAGACTGTCTCGGTCCTCTGCTTCAGCTGCAAGGTCAGTGGTGGCAGAGCCCCTTCCCACTCCAGCTGTGTGTGACTCACACCCAGTGCCCCCTCCTGCCCTCTCCGCCGGCGGTGGCGGCCTCGGCCCTCCAGTCCCCACCCAGTCTCCTGCACGTGGGCACCGGGCGCGCAGTACCTGTGACGCCGAGGCCCCGCAGGCCGCAGACGGGAGCCACGCGCGGCCCCGGCATGGGGCGCGGGGAGCACAGCGGGTAGAGACTCACGCTCAGATAGGCAGGCAGCCACGATGCCTGGCACGGCCAGGACAGACCCTGGGCAGTGCACGGAGAAGACGCCGACCTGAGGTGCGGGTGGGCGCAGGCGGAGCCTGACAGCCAAACGGCAGCCGGCGCGAGGGGGTCGGGCCTCGCCAGGATGGCCTCGACGGAGAAGGCGGACTGGAACCGTCCGGGAGTGCGGGGCGTGTTCTGGGCCGTGGGGGACCCGAGCGCCGGAGAACGGCTAGGGCCAGAGCGCGGAGGCCGGACCCGAGTGCCTGAGGGAGCGGGCGGCAGGCTGCCTGGCGGCCTGGGGCTGGGCTTGGCGCGGCCCATGCCCAGACGGGAGCAAGGAGAGGAGCTCGGGAGGAGTGAGAAGATTCTGCAAACGGTTGGAGCAAGACCGGTTGTCTGGGAACGTCCGGCGCTGGGCGAAGGCGCTTAAATTTGGCGGGGCGGGGCATGGGGTGGCCTCTCCCCACTGCGGCCCGGGCGGGGCCCCCAAAGCCTTTGAGCGCCCGCCCTGGGCGAGGCAAGGCGGGCAGGGCACCAAAGAGTGTGTTCCCTCCCTTCAGCCGCTTTTTAAAATACCCACGCTGGGGCAGTCAGGGGAAGGACCCTGAGTTTGCTGGTGATCCTGGACGAGACACCCAGCTTCGATCAGGAGAGCAGGATGTTCGTTTCCCTGGGGCCTTGCAGACGCAGAGCTGTGATATGGCGAGAGGTAGTGCAGTGGCTGCGGGTCCTGGCCTCAGCTGATCTGCGCCGTGCTCGACGCAGAAGCTTCCGCCAGATTCACCTAGGTGAATTCACCAGATTCACGCAGACTTTTTTTTTTTAATTTAAATATTTTATTTATAAGCACGGTGATAAGTAAATTTCCTACCCTGGCCCTAGCCTTTTAATTTCCCTGCCTTGAGATACCAATATGGTTACCAATTTCCTTTTTTTTTTTTTTGAGACGGAGTTTCGCTCTTGTTACCCAGGCTGGAGTGCAATGGCACGATCCACCTGCCTCGGCCTCCCAAAGTTCTGGGATTACAGGCTTGAGCCACCGTGCCCGGCCCTTCTTTTCTTTTTTTTCTTTTTCTTTTTTTTTTGAGGCGGAGTTTCACTCTTGTTACCCAGGCTGGAATGCAATGGCGCGATCTCGGCTCACCGCAACCTCCGCCTCCTGGGTTCAGGCAATTCTCCTGCCTCAGCCTCCCGAGTAGCTGGGACTACAAGCACGCGCCACCATGCCCAGCTAATTTTTGTATTTTTAGTAGAGACGGGGTTTCACCATGTTGACCAGGATGGTCTTGATCTCTTGACCTCGTGATCCACCCGCCTCGGCCTCCCGAAGTGCTGGGATTACAGGCGTGAGCCACCGCGCCCGGCTCTTTCTTTTTTTTTTAAAAAAAAAAAAAAAACCTTTTGGTCAGGTGCAGTGGCTCATGCCTGTCATCCAGTACTTTGGGAGGCTGAGGCTAGAGGATCACTTTAGCCCAGGATTTGATTTGATTTGATTTCAGGGTAAAAAATATGGCCACTATGTCTCTAGCTCTGGACTTTTAGTATATAACTCTCTGTGTTTCCATATGTAATTGTTAGTTTTCTGTTGTCTCATTTATTCCTTCTTCAGACTGTAACTCCTGAGCATAAGAATTAATATCTCCAGCCGGGTGTAGTGGCTCAAGCCTGTAATCCCAGCACTTTGGGAGGCCGAGGCAGGTGGATCACGAGGTCAAGAGATCGAGACCATCCTGGTCCACATGGTGAAACCCTGTCTCTACTAAAAATGCAAAAAATTAGCTGGGCATGGTGGCTCGTGCCTGTAGTCCCAGCTATTCAAGACGCTGAAGCCGGGCGCGGTGGCTCAAGCCTGTAATCCCAGCACTTTGGGAGGCCGAGGCAGGTGGATCACGAGGTCAAGAGATCGAGACCATCCTGGTCAACATAGTGAAACCCCGTCTCTACTAAAAATACAAAAAATTAGCTGGGCATGGTGGCACGTGCCTGTAATCCCAGCTACTCAGGAGGCTGAGGCAGGAGAATTGCCTGAACCCAGGAGGCGGAGGTTGCGGTGAGCCGAGATCATGCCATTGCACTCCAGCCTGGGTAACAAGAGTGAAACTCTGTCTCAGAAAAAAAAAAAAAAAAGAATTAACATCTCCAATTTACATGTTAGTAAATACAGTAAAAGAGGTTAACAGAACTGCCTTGATTCAAACCCCCTAGGGTATGTGGTTTTAATTTGCATTTATTTCCCAAAGACCCTTCAATGTGAGCATCTTTGTATATGCTTATCAGCTACCTGGAGATCCTCTTTTGTGTGAAATGCCTGTTCAACTGGTTTGCTTATTTTTGTATTGGGTCAGTATCTTTTTCCTATTGTAAGAGTTTGATGTATAGATAATTTGGAATCAAGTCCTTTGTTGTAATATATATAGAAGCAGAGAACTTCTGTCACTCTGTGGTCTGCATTTTCATTCTTTTAGTAGTCTTTTTTCTTTTTCTTTTCTTTTTTTCTTTTCTTTTTTTTTTTTTTTTTTTTTTTTTTTTTTGAGATGGAGTTGCCCAGGCTAGAGTGCAGTGGCATAATCTTGCTCTCTGTAACCTTTGCCTCCCAGGTTCAAGCAATTCTTCTGCCTCAGTAGCTGGGATTACAGGCACCTGCCATCATGCCAGGCTAATTTTTGTATTATTAGTAGTGACAGTTTCACCTTGTTGGCCAAGGCTGGTCAGGAACTCATAACCTCAAGTGATCCACTGGCCATGGCCTCCCAAAGTGCTGGGATTACCACCACACCTAGCTCTAGTAGTCCTTTTGATGAACAAAAAAAGCCTAATTTTTATGAAATTTAATAATCTGCTTTTGTGTCTTTTAAATGAAATATTTGCCTACCCCAAGTCATGGAGATATTCTCCAGGCATTTTTCTGATTCTTCATTATTTTACCTTTTACATTTAGGTCTATAAATGATTTTTGTGTAGGTGTTAGGGAAAGGACGGTTTAAGGATAAGTCAAAATCTGAAGCTATAAAGGAAAATATTCATTGATTGCAAGACACAAAATGAAAGTATACCAAAAATGAAGCAAAACTAATAAGAGACTGTATTTTTAAAATTATTTATGCATTTATTTTTGAGACAGAGTTTTGCTGTTGTTACCCAGGCTGCAATGGCACCATATTGGCTCACTGCCACCTTCGCCTCCCAGATTAAAGCAATACTCCTGCCTCAGCCTCCCAAGTAGTTGGGATTACAGGCGCTTGCCACTATGCCCAGCTAATTTTTTGTATTTTTAGTAGAGAAGGGGTTTCACCATGATGGCCAGGCTGGTCTTGAACTCCTGACCTCTGGTGATCCACCTGCCTCGGCCTCCCAAAGTGATAGGATTACAGGTGTGAGCCACTGCACCTGGCCCTATAGCAGACTTTAAAATGACCACCGACACAGGATAGTACATGAACTAGGCACTTTATAAAAGGAAATATCTGAATAGCTTAAAACCATATGTGTCTGGGTGCAGTGGCTCACACCTGTAATCATAGTACTTTGGGAGGCCGAGGTGGGCAGGTCACTCGAGGTCAGGAGCTCAAGACCAGCCTGGCCAACATGGTGAAACCCCATCTCTACTAAAAATAGAAAAATTAGCCAGGCATGGGGACAGGCGCTTGTAATCCCAGCTACTGGGAGGCTGAGGCAGGAGAATCTCTTGAAGCCAGGAGGCAGTTGCAGTGAGCCAACATTGCGCCACTGCACTCCAGCCTAGACAACAAGAGCGAGACTCTGTCTCAAACATAAATAAATAATTAATTAAAAATAAATAAATAACTTTTTTTTTCTGTGGCACACAAGGAAGAACAAGTGATCTCTTTACCCCTGGCAACCTCTGGTAAGGGTTATTTATGCCTTTAAATCTAATTAGGTGACAGAATCAATTCTAGGTGAACCAGACTGAACTCATCACTCACTAAGGGTTCTGTTCCTCTTAGAACCATGTCCAATAGCATATTCTCTTATTAGTCATGATCCAATCAGAGAAACTAGGAGTGACAAGGAATAAAGGATATGTTTTTAAGATAAGGATCTTGCTATGTTTCCTAGGTGCATCTTAAACTCCTGGACTCAATGATTCTCTTGCCTCAGCCTCCTGAGTAGCTGAGATTACAGGTGCACACAGAATAAAGTATTCCTGTGCCTGACAGAATAAAGGATTTATTTTTATTTTTTTCATCATATTCAACCCCAAAGAAAAAAGGATTTTATTATGGGAATTTGACCTTACACAATTGTGGGAACTGGGAATAGGTCTCTGTGAGGATTACTTTTTTGTCTGGATCTGGGAATAAAGTCCACAGGCAGGCATTGGGGAGGGAAAGATGGATGTGAAGTGGGAGAACGAGGACACACTGGCACCCAGGAAGAAAAGCAAGAATGAGCTAAAACCTGCCTCAGTCTCATACCACCTCCAAGCCTCTCATTTTGTTCATTCAGGTGACATGCAAGGAAGTCTGGTGTCCTTCATTTTGAAACTAAGTACACACTTAGCCCAGGAGCTGGGGAAACTGAAGAGAATCTGTTGGGAGCTAAAGGAATTACATGCCCAGCCGTTGCCCCCATCAGCAAAATGAGCCAGCAGATCTGCCATAAGGCATATGAGCCGCCATAGCACCTCCCCAGAACTGCTAAAACATAGCTGCTTCTTCACTTCCAGGTCCTGAGCATCATGCCCAAAACCATGCAGGGAAGGAAATTATGGGAAATGTCCTTCCAGCTTAGATAAGTTGACACAACACAAAGTCATGTATAAAAAGGTTTAAACATGTATAACATAAAACATAAATACCTTGATAAAAGTCTAAAGGCATTCTTAGGCGTGATAAACATGACAATCAAAATAAAGACGTTTACATTTACCATGCCTAAAGAATGCCTTTAGACTTTTATCTAAAGCGGGGTGGGAGAAGGGAGTGGGATTAGGGAGGGTCACTTGGGCTGTCAACTTTCTGTATTGTTTTATCTCTTAACACAAAACAACCATACTGGGAATTTGACCTTACACAAATGTAAAATGTTGTAAAAATGTTTGATAAAACTGAATAGTGGGGTGTATGGATATCCTCTTTATTATTCTCTATACTTGTCTATAGGCTTGAAATGTTTCACATTTTTTCCCTAACGCCTTGTATTTAAAAAAAGTTTTTGGCAGTGGCTCACGCCTTTAATCCCAGCACTTTGGGAGGCTGAGGTAGGCAGATCACTTGAGGTCAGGAGTTCCAGACCAGCCTGGCCAACATGGTGAATCCCCCGTCTCTACTGAAAATACAAAAATTAGCTGGACATGGTGG